CACTAAACCGACACATATTTTTGACTTATCAAACATCCCCAAGCTTAAACCGATGCTTGTCCTCAAGTATCAAATCAAATCCATCATCTCACCTCATAGTCATCATCTATCTTCTAATGCCAACTCAAAAATATTTTGCATGCAATGAACAAAAGTTAAAGCCAAGTCCTCATCAACCGACACCAATAAAAATAAACTCAACAATCACATAACTTAAAACACATGAAATCAACACTTCTCACGAGATTCACTCTTGCACTCAAAAGTGTATTGGCTAGATATTAAGTTTACACTCAGGTCAAGACATTTAAGATTTTTACCATATGCTTGCAAAGATATCATGTCCAACCACCCAAAATGAATATGAACACAAACACAAAATCAAAGGGTTAAAAATGGGTTGTAATGGGGCATAGGGTAAGGTGGGAGAAGAAATACATCGGCTAATAGAATAGAAGCAATCATCAAACTCTTCATAAATCGAGCTTAACCAAAATGTAAAACAAGCTGATCATGCGATCACAATATGCATCCAACATAAAAAGCAATCTAACACAATGCTCTTTCAGCTTTTTTTTTTTTTTTTTTTTTCAATTTTGTAATTACTATATATATATATATATTTCTTTTAAGATATTCCAGTTTGTTATCTTACAATTTTGACGTGGATTTGCAAGGAAAGTTACCTACAAAATAATCAGCTGACTGGCACCGTACCTCGTCATGCATTTATATATCTCATTCATCACAACCATGCTATTATGTGAGTCCTTACCTAAGCAGAAAGTGCACAAAACATATATGACTTGTGTAGAGAAAAAATTAAAAAAAAAAACATATGTATATGCTAATATATATATAGAGAATGAATCATATAAGAATGATTCTTAATGTGAGAAATAAGAATGGATCTGCACCATGGGATCAATCATATTAATGGTTAAGATCAAGTCAAAACATGGTTAATCATTAATGGCAGTCTGGTAATTATTTGATCATAGTGTGGTCAAATATGTGTATATGACCAATAAATAAAGATAAGTTAGTCAATACACATTTATTATGTGGGACCCACTCACCAAATAACTTCACCCCACCTTTTCTCTCTCCTCTCTCTCTCTCCTCACCCTCCTTTTCTCTTTCCTCAATCTCTCGCTCCTCCACCAATTTGAAAATCTCACCCGATCTGAAATCTGAACGCTTACACACACACACACACACTACACACAAGCACACTCAGGCCACCGTCGTACTCTCAGCGGCAGAGCTCAGCCACCGTGATTATGTAGCCCGTCGCCTCCCCTCCGCATCCTATCGTCGGAGTCGGATGCGACCAAGGAGCTTTCGACGGAAACCAGCCGCCCATCGCTGCAGCCGTCGAATACCGTCCGCCGCCGTCAACCACCGCCCGTCGACACAACCTCACCACGTCTGTTTTCGCCGATTCCGTCTCCACCGTCCTCCACTTCCGTCACCAACCGACTGACAGATCTCGTTCGCCGGTCGCCCCATCTACACATTCCGACCACCGCGAATCACCACCTACACGTTGATTGATGGACGATGGAGGCTGCGGGAGAACAGCGGAGGAGGATGGCCGGTTTGTTTTTTGATTTTTTTTTTGGGGCTGAGGACTATCCGCCAGTTGTGGCGACTTTTGGTGACGATTACAGAGGCGGCGACGGCGTTTGTTGAAGAGGACGGCGGCGGCGGCGGCGGCGGAGGCGTTTGGTGATGAGGATGGCGGCGGCAGTGGTGGCTGAAGTTGAGTGGCGGTGGTGTCATTTGTTTTGGGGGAGCTGTGTATGATTTTGAGAATTCATTATGTTGAGGGGACTATTTTGCATTTCATATGTATGTTTTTATTTATGTATGACATTTTATGGTTAAATAAGTATTAATTTATGCACAATAATGACATATTAGATGCACAATATTGTGTGTAAGTGTGCACCTTAAAAAAGAAATAATCAAAATGAAATGTAAAATTTCGAACTAGAAAATTCGACATAATCGATTTAATTTTTCGGTTAACAAACGTAACCAAATTAACTGATATGAATTACATCATTTATTATAAAAAGCACAACTAGTGTGTAATATTTTTTATTTGATATTTTATGTTATTTTTTATTCAAAAAATTTAGTATTTATGTAAACGAATTATACCGTGCAATGTAACATCTATTAAAGTGCAATTTGTTCAACACTCGGTGCACAGTATCGGTCTGTATTGTGCAGATTGAACCAAACGAACTTTTATCCCAAATCTAATTGAAAAAATGAACATAATCAACTGGTTTATTCGGTTCGAATAACTGAATTACTTTAAATAATTGAAATAAGTTGTTGTTTATATTAAAATTATATTTAATATGTTAATAATTATATTTATTATTTTTTATATTATTTTTTTGTTGAATAAAATTGAGTTCGGTCGGTTTCAATCTCTAATCTGCAATCTGATAATCATTATAAAGTGCAATGTATTGTTTTGTAAAGTGCAATATGTTGTTTTATAAAGCGTGATAGTGTAAAAGTCGAACTATAAAGTGCAATGTATTGTTTGGTAAAGTGCGATGTGTTATTTTATAAAGTGCAACGTGATAGTGTGTAAGTCGAACTATAAAGTGCAACATATTGTTTTGTAAAGTGCAATGTGTTGTTTTGTAAAGTGCAACGTGATAGTGTATAAGTCGAACTAGTGTAATTATTAACAATATTTGTAATTATTAATAATATTTATAATTATTAGAAATACCAGTTAATTTACGAAATTACATAGAATTGTTCATTAGTCGGTTCAATTTGTTCATAAATTTATCCAAATTTATCAAGATGTTCCTTAAAAGTGCATATGGTCTAATGTAGCATGACAATCGCTAATGTGCATTTTGAATAATACATTGAACATTACTACATGTTTTATAATTGAATTATTTGTTTAAATAAAATTAACCTACATAATTTAATTAATTTATTATTTATATTATAAAATATTTCAATATTTTAAAATATTTTTTTTATATATTTTATATAAATTCTAGATTTAGCACATGGACTAAATTGAACTATATTCAAAACTCTTGAAATTTTTGTTAAATTATAGATTTGACCTAGGATTTCAATTAAGTCTTTAATGTTTTATCAAATTTTTAATAAACACCCCCAATCCCAAATATTTCTCCGTCATTCTGTCTCCACACAATCTCCGCCATTAGCGCCGATAAGCCGCCTGATCTTTCTCAGCCATGGGAAGACCTCACCGGTTGACCACATCCTGACGATTTTAGTTTCGATTTCGTGTTCGTCTATTTTATTTTCGATTTTCGATTTTAGTTTAGATTTTCGATGTTGCTGGTGTGTTCTTGCCGAGTTGGTATTACCGGAGCTCGACGGCGTCAGTGGTTTCTTTGTGGGCGGTCGATTTTTTGCCTCCAAACCCTCGAGATCGGATGGCTCGGCGGTAATTTTGACTGCGGCCGGAGTTTTGATTTTGAGGCGGATCTGACTGGATGGAGAGGGCTGAGGGCGGCGTTGATCGGAGAAGTAACCGGAGTTCTGGAGGTGGCGGGCGGAGGAGCAGATGCAGTTTCCGGCAGCAGCTTTGATTGGTGAAGGTAAGGAATATAATGCGGTTTTCGGTGGGTGTAGTGGCCTTCGCCGGAGTGGCGGCCGCTGGAGAAGTCGGGAATGGCGGAGCCGGCGGGGTTGGATAGTGATCGGCGGCGTTGGATGGCTGTGCCAGTGTAGAAGGTCTGGCGGGGATGGATACTGTGCGTTGCTGTGGTCGAGGTAATTGGAGCTCTCGAGGTACACGGCGGAGATGGAGGAGGGGGGCGGCTGGAAGTGGTAGAGGGAGGTGGAAATTAGGGCGGCGGTCGGAATAGTCGGGGAAGCGGAGGCAGAGGTGGAGATTGACTGGGAAGGGTCGGGAACGACGGCCATGGGAAAGAGCTCCGTGCAGTTAGTGCTTGTGTATGCTTGTGTATCGATTAGTGTGTGTATTGATTTGTGTGTGCGTCTGTGTGGGTGATGTGCGTGTATGTGTGTGTGAAAGATAGAATGTGGGAGATGAGGTGTAAATCGGGCCCACGAGTGAGTTGGTGTGTGGTGGCATGGCTTTAATGGGTGTGTATAAAATTATCACATTACCCTTTCTAGCATAAGACTCTTCTTCTCTCTCCAAATATCCTCTTTCCTTAGTTATCCAATCTCCTTCTTATTCTCCAAGATCTCCTACTTGCGTGCCTCTCTTCCCTTCTTTACATGAATCCAATTTCCTACAATATATAAGTGATAATGAGATCAAATAATTCTTTTAAAAAATATAATCTAAATTAGGAAATAATAAATATATGAAGAACTTCCCTTTTATGTCATCCTAGTGCATGCAGGAACTTGTTCAATCAAACTCTCTTGATTTCGAACTCATGCCAAATAATATATCTTTCACATCTCAATAGGAAGTGCCAAGTAAAAGCTTATTTATTTTGTACAAAAAAAAAAAGCTTATTTATTTGAATAGATTAACGTTGTAAAGGTTTTTTCTTTCTTTTTGCATATTAACGTTGTAAAGGTTAATTAGTGAGCATTGTCTTAGAATCCGAAGCCGTGATTGACTTGGGCAGTGCTACTACCTTGTGCCTAGGTACACCTAGCTAGGTGTGCCAGGGCAGTTTAAAATGAACATATTATGTTACAAAATGAACATGTACAAACCATGTTTGTACATGTTCATTTTGTAACATAACATGTTCATTTGTGGGACACCTAGCTAGGTGCACCTAGTTGCATCTAAGTATTTGCGTGACTTGGGGTCGCCTTCAGATCACTAGTCCAACACTCCAACTATTAGATCATCGGATAACTAATTTTGTAAAATTTTAAATTATATTTATATTATTTTATCTTATAAGTATACATAAAACAATAAAATAAATAATTTATATGTAAACTTTATACCTCGAAATCATCATAATATTTTACTGTCTCAGAAATATTTAGCACAAAAAAATATATAGTTTTATCTAAAAAATAAAAAAAAGTATAAAAAATTGTAAAAATATTTAATGCCCGAGACAAATTGAGTTGACCCAATCAGGTCAAGATTGACCAAGATTTGCAGTGACGGATCTAGAATTTTATTCAGGGGGCACAGTTTTAAATATTAAATAGAGAGCTTGTAATTAAAGTCGAAACGTTCATTTCATATGAAAATGTATTTATTAGTAAATATAAATATCGATATGTGTATCATCAAGTTTTTAGAATATTATAATTCGTATCGCCCTCAAACTTTTACAAAAATAAACAAAAAAAAAAAGAAAAAATGATCAAGATTATATATTTTAAGTTCAACATCTATAATTTATGAAAAAATAAGTTTTCTGGTTGAAAATTTGATTTAGATTAAACATTTGCAGCACATTGCATATCATTTTTGTTGATGAGAGCTTATCAAATGAGCATTTTTAAAAAAATAAATAAAGTTAAAAATATGTGATTGTCACAAAAATAAAAAATAAAAAAAATCAACATTAAAAATAGTAACAATAACTACTTGATTTTATAAATTACTAAATGAATTTACAATTAAGAGACTGAATGAATAATTCATTATAAATATTTTCAAAAATTTATCTAGAAATATAAAATGTAAGTATTGTTAGTACATTTTTCAATAAATAAATAAGATTATTAATTTAAATTAAAATATAATAGAAAAATTTTTTTAATTATAACTATATTGTAAATATATTTTGATTTTTTATATATATTTTATTTATAGTATTATGTATATATATATATATATATATATATTGATTTTTGTAAAAAAATGAGGAGGCCCACGACGCCCTAGGCCTCTTGGTACCTTGATCCAAATGACCAAATCATGTTGTTACAGGCTTTGGGTTGACCGAGTCTCGAATTGACCCGTCAAGCCGGCCCGAGTTTCAAAACACTGCTTGTGAATCCAAGCCACAACAGTTATAATTATTTTGGCTCGTCTGTGACGCGTCGGCTGGGGTTAAGGTGGGTTGATTTGAGCTCCTGGTTCCACTCTGCCGGAGTTGTGGAGTGGGACGCCCGACAAGCCCGGAATTTGACTAGTGGTGTTTGGTCGGGTCTCGGGATGCGGGTCTGTGGAGGGGGGGTTGATTGATCCTCTTGGAGCTGTGGGTCGCCTTCATCCTTGGAGTGTTTGAGGCTTGGGACTCGTCCTTGCTAGGCATTAGGCAGTGGCGGGAGTGGTGTTCCAGCTTTCGGGTCAAGCTATTGGGTGATTGGTCCTGATTTCGCCGGCTCGGTATGGTTATCCCGATGAAGGGTTTTGTGTGTTTTTTTATTAGGTTTATTTTAGGATTGTTCTTCTGTGTTTGTGTTCTTGTGTAGTTTAGGATTGTGTTTTTGGTCTGGGCCGTTTGGCCTCTGTGAACCCGAGTGTCACCTTATTATCCCACTGGGATCCGACACTCGGGTACTACTCTGTTGGGGTCTTTTAGTTGTTGTTAGTTGTTTTAGTTGCGAGCTTTATTCTAGCGTTGCTAGTCGGGACTCTAGGCGGTCTTCTGACCTGTCCTCCCACTTTTTCAGCTGTTGGCTGCTGTGTATTTAGTCGTTGGCTGCTGTCTATTCGTACATTTGTGTATTTTGATTTATAATATAATGTATCATTTTGGAAAAAAAAAAAAAGAATCTCACTAGTAGTTAAGTGATAAAATTAGAGAAAATTCCATGGTCTACTCAAAACATAGTATATAAGTATCATAAATAATACCTTGTATGAGCTCTTGATATGTGGCATTGGCATAAGAGTGGGCTTCTCACTGTGAAATCCTTGTATGAGCTCTTGATAGAGAATCATATTAACAAGAAAGCAGGGGCTGGATCTAGCAGGAGCAGAACACAAGAAACGAAGATGTGGAGAGGACATGGAAGCTGCCCATAAAGAACAAGATCAAAAATTTCATTTGGAAGGCTTGGAATGGATTTTTAGAAACTAACCAGAAACTGCAGAGGGGGATGGACCTTAATGTTATTTGCAAGCAGTGTGGAGAGGAACCAGAAGATCAAGATCACATTTTCTTTGGAGGTAAGAGAGCAAGGAGAAGCTGGAAACTGCTGGGATTGGAATGGCATAAATTGCAGGTTTGTAAACCTTCTTTTAAAGACTGGTGGCTTGAAATCTTATGTGCTCAACAGAATGAATCCATCAAAGATAGGATAAGTCTCTCTACTCACCTTCTTTGGTGGCTTTGGAAGACTATGAATGTATGGGTGTTTGAGAAGATTTGGGTGGGGGAAGAGATGGTGGTTCAGAAAGTAGAAAGTAGTATCTGAGTGGAAGGAATTTAATGGGATTTTGGACAATGGTAGGGATGAGGGTGAGATGGAAACAACAAGTCACAGAGAGAACCTTAGTAGTCAATGAGCTGGAAATTTTCTGTTAGAGGTAGGACAAATTGAGTTGTCTGTCAGTGCTTCATCTTCAGTTAGTTGTGCTACCGAGATTTCAGTTTCTACAGCTTAAGGAGGTATGTTGGGTTAGGAATGGTACAGGCATGATAGCAGGGTTTAATAGACATATTGTTGTGGTTTGGATAAGAATTAAGCAGCCGCTGGATGTTGTCCATAAGTGTTGGATTTGTTCTTTTTTTTCCTTGTTTTTTAGTGTGCTTCTTTTTGGGGTTATTAGCATTTGATGTAGTGTCCGTTTGGTATTTTGGGGAGCAGAGGTATGGCCTTTGGCTCGTTTACCAGCCTGTTTGGTTGGTATGTTGTTTGTAACTAGTTGGTTACCCCATTGTATCTTTGTTGAGTTTAATATAATGCTTTAACATTTGGAAAAAAAAAAGTATCATAAATAATACCAACACCATTCAATTCATGTAGTTGTACAATCAATCACATTCAAATCAAAACATACATACAAAATATATTCTCATTCTCCGAAGGACAGACCGGTGAGTCTGCTGTTGACCACCAATTATTATTCAATATTTCTATCAGGAACACTTATAAATTTAATATATAATACACGACTCAAACAAGTTATATGTAACTTTGTCCCAAAAAACTCAATTTTTGCTCTTTAATATAGAAATCTTTAGAGAACGCACTTACTTTTCTTTATAAGATTTCAAAGAGTATTTATATAACTCATTGTCGTGTGCTTAAAAAGGTAAGAGGGAACCATTAAACTTATGAAGTTGATACTTGTTTAATTAATTCAAGAATATTAATTAAACCGAAAACTTTTAGGCTTGAAACTCATCCACATACATTTTTTTTAAACTTATAGTACATTCATGCAATGGGTAACTATCTTACACTTATGGATGGATGTAACGTGTAACTTTTAAACTAAAGGAATTCATTTTACTTTCAGACATATAACATATAATTGATCCTCTTACATTAACTTTATTTTAACTGAAAAGAAAACAGTGCCCTCATACTTGTCGGCGATCCGATCCACTAGGTACCGAACTTTAATAAAAATGAAAATTAAGAAAGTCGACTAGTAATAAAACTGCAATTTTTTCAAGAATTTTGATGTAGGAAACAAATATAATAATAACAAGTATTATTATTATTTAGTAGCTTGGTGGACATTAGACAAGATAGGTTTAGGGCTTTAAGAGTCTGATTTAAATACTCATTCTTCTTTGTTATTAGTTAGTTGATTATTGAATAAGAATATGAATTGATTGTGAGTTTTATCGAGAGAGTATCTCGTTTATCCTTCCCATTCGTACGCTTCCCTACATCAGTTGGTATCAGCAGTCAGTACGATTCGCGATGTCGCCGGGACGACAAGATGCCGCAAACAAACGACGTGATGCAACCCTTCAACGATCGGTTTCAACAGATCGACTACCGATTTGAACAATTGGACGTGCGTTTCACAGATTGGTTTGCAGATCTTTCGACGGGGATCGAGGATTTGCGTTTGACGCTTAACAACATGATCTGGGATTTGCAAATGAACCGTGCCGCCGCCGACCGGAGTGTGCGCGGGGGAGTTCACGGAGGAAGTGGAGGTCGTGTTCCAGACAGCGAGGAGACCATCTCGGAGGTGGATCCCTTCGGAGAGTGGCCGCTTCTGCTCATCGAGACTAAGCTCGTTGCACACGACGACCAAGATGTGCAGCAACAGAGTACGATTTTTTAGGAAGATGACGGGCTATTGTACGACGGTCAGCCTATTTTCGATGAGGAGCCTCCAGTGACGGAGACATATTTTTGCGGCAATATGGGTCCCGCGTGGGACGTCGTAGAAGTTGAGCCTTTGACGGGGATGCCGTCGTTGAAACCCAATTTTTGGAGTATCTCGGCGAACGATGGTTTTTGGGAGCCGAAGCCGAGGCTCAATAACTGGTGGTCCATTTTTCGATTGTCTATCGCGAAGTCTCCCAACAACAGGATTCTTGGTCGTAGTTATGGATTTAAGCGCGGCGAACGATGTGGTATGTTTTGTGTTAATTCAACAATGTGTGTTATGCGTATGAAGGCGTGTACATGTGCCTTTGCAGCAGTTCAATCCTTGACCGAGATTAT